AGAAATTTGGAGTGTACCTGATTTGGGAGCCTTGCAGCAGAGTACAGTGTCGAAACTGAGACCAGATAATGTCCAATATTTACAACAGTCACTGCAACAGTCCAAAGTTTAATGGTTCAAAATCACTTTGACATGCCGTGGGTGAGCAGGGGTCTGGTGGATTGTTGGGTGAGGTTGTAGGTTGGCAAGTGAGTGGATGACTAGGGCAAGAGAGGGGTAGATGTGTTGGTGGGAGGATTCTGTTCAGGCCCACTCAATTTGGATGGGGGCTGTTAGAATCAAGGGGATGCCTGAGGGTGGAGTTTGGCTCACAAGGTGAGGGGTGTGGAGGGTGAGGTCAGCAGATGGTGGGGGTGTAGGATTGTAGGGAGGGCAGCTGGATGTGGGTGCAGTCTTTGAGGCTCTGGATGGGAAATGGCAGAATGCCAAGCCAGGCTAGGTCAGGGAAGGGGGAGTTGGGGGAATGCCAGTTGTTTAGTAACTTCTTTGAAAAGTTACCGAAGAAATGATAGATGCTTTAATTCCTCTAACGTTTCTTGGGTAACTTTTCAAAGAAGTTACTAAAGCATCCTGTAACTCATCGCTAACTCTTCAGGTATGCAAGTTGGAACCCTCCAAAGTCTTCAACACTGAGTTCTGAACATTTTGGAGGGTTTCAGATGCAGAGTAATTGGTGTTGGATCTCTCAGTGCATTGGGACTTCCAAGGGGTACCATAGTGCATCATTCAGGGTACATTGCTACAATAGCTATCTTTCGATCAGAAATGTGCTAGTCATTTGGCACATGGACTGTCAGGTGCCAAATGACTGGAGAGTGGCTAATGTTGTGCTTTTATTTAAGAAGGAATGTAAGGAGAAGGCTGGGAACTATAGACCTGTGAGTCTGACTTTGGCGGTAGGTAAGTTATTAGAAGTGATTCAGAAAAGTAGGATTTATATGCATTTGGAGAGGCAAGGAATGATTAGCGATAGTCAGCACTATTTTGTGTGGGGTAAATCGTGTCTCACAAACTTGATTTGAGTTTTAAGCAAGTAACCAAGAAGATTGACAAGGGCAGAGTGGTAGACATTATTTACTTGGACTTTAGAAAAGCTTTTGACAAGGTTCCACATGGTAGACTAATTAGTGAAGTTAGATCACCTAGGATTCAGGGTGAGCTTGTGAATTGGATACAAAATTAGCTTAACAATAGGATTGATAGAGTGATGGTGAAGCATTGTTTTTTGGACCAGAGATCTGTGATAAGCAGTGTTCCATAGGGATTGGTGCAGGGTCCACTTCTGTTTGTCATTTATATAAATGATTTAGATGAGAATAGAGAAAGCATGGGTAGTAAGTTTGTGTATGGAACCCAAGATTGGTGGTATAGTGGACAGTGAAGAAGGTTCTCCAAGATTACAAATTGATCCTGATCAATTGCATCAATGGGCTGAAGTGTGGCAAATGGAGTTTAATAATTTGGATAAATGCGAGATATTACATTTGGGTAATACAAAGGGAAGACTTCTAAAATTTAAAATGGGGCCTTGGGTTAGTGTTGTTGAATAGAGGCACATATGGGTTCAGGTACATTAATTTGCATCACATATACATAAGGCGGTTAAGAAGGCAGTTAGCATGCTTGCCTTTATTGCTCCGACGTTTGATTATAGGAGTTGGTACATTATGTTGAGATTGTACAGGACGTTGATGAGGCCTTTTCTGGAGTACTGTGGCCAGTTCTGACCACACCCTGTTGTAGGAAGGATAATTATTAAGCTGGAAAGGGCTCAAACGATTTACCAGGATGTTGCCGTGAATGGAGGGTTTGAGTTATAAGGAGAGGCTGAATAGTCTGGGACTTATTTCACTGGAGCATAGGAGGTGGAGAGGTGACCTTTATAGAGGTTTATAAAATAATAAGGGGTATAGGTAGGGCGGCCGGTAGGTATCTTTTCCCTAGGGTAAGGGACTTCAAGACTAGGGGGTATATTTTTAAGATGAGAGGAGAAAGATTTTAAAAAAGACATGAGGCTTTTTTTTTTCTTTACACAGAGAGTGTACCCAGAGAGTGGTTTACATGTGGAATGAATGTCCAGAGAATGGCTACAGTATGGTGGATACGGCTACAGTTACAATGTTTAAAAGACATTTAGATAATTACATGAACAAGAAATGTTTGGAGGGATATGGGCCAAGCACAGGTAGGTGGGATACTTCAGTTTGGGATCATGGTCACCCTGGATTGGTTGGACTGAATAGTCTGTTTACGTGCTGTAAGACTCTATGTGAATGGGACATAGAATTGTTGATGTACAACCCAGCAGCAATTTGTGGCAAGAAACAGATACGGTATGAATTGTGAATGATCACAATTTGCTGGCCAATTTGCATCGTTCTTCCATTAATTTTGTGATTTTATGAAGTTGTTGTATTTGCTCGTTAACTATGCAGCATATTCACAACAAAAAGTTCAGTCCAATAACTAATTGTATGATTTAACAACATGATACTTATTCATGTCTGCTACCAAACACTCTTGTGTAAAAATGGATCAGTTGAGGGTTATGACATTATGCGAAAAAGCAATCGGATATGCTTCAGCAAAATATTGGCCATTTTTACATGTCAAAAGTATAGCTTTCTGCTTGATTAATAGTTGTCAGAATTCATTGATAGTGTATCAAAGGGAACTGTGAAGGAAACAAAAGTGCTTTGTATTCTTGCTATCTTCATTGTGGATCATTAGGTGTGATTCTGCTATTGGACATCATTATTAAATAATACAGATTGTGCTAAGAATTACACTAGGAATCAATTTAAGATGTTCTGTTGGACTTGCCATGTGATGTATTTGTGCATGGTAGAAGCTCCATATGTTAACGCACAGACTGTATCTTATGTTGACAAAAGGAATTTCTTTAGATATTGCTTTTTCTTATTGTAAAAGTAAAAGGGGTCATGGAAAATTCCAAGATAGTAAGAACTGCCGATGCTGGAGTCTGAGATAACTCAGTGTGGAGCTGGAGGAACACAGCAGGCCAGGACACTTCTTCAGAAATGGAGGAGGAGGAAGGGGGCTCTGAAATAAAGAGAGAGAGGAGGGGTTGGGCTGGGAAAGGTAGGTGAGGTGGTGATCGCAGGTAGGTAGTGGTGTGGATTGGTCAATGAGGTGAGAGGTGCGGATAGGTAGGAGAGAAAATGGATAGGTCAAGGAGGCGGGGCTGACAGGGAGGGTTGATCTTGGGATGAGGCCGGGGGTGGGGAGATTTTGAAGCTAGTAAAGTCCACATTGAGACCATTGGGTTGTAGGCTTCCAAAGCGGAATATGAGGTGCTGTTCCTCCAGTTTCTGGGTGGTGTCGTTGTGACACTGGAGGAGGACAAGGATGGACATGTCGTCCAGGGAGTGGGAGGGGAGTTGAAGTGGTTTGCGACTGGGAGGTGTTGTCGTTTGTCACGAACTGAGCGCAGGTGCTCTACAAAGTGGTCTGCGAGCCTCCGCTTGGTCTCAACGATGTAGAGAAGGCCACATTGGGAACAACGGATCCAATAGACCACCTTAGCGGATGTGCAGGTGAACTTCTGTTTAATGTGGAAGGTTTTTTTTGGGGCCTGGGATGAAGGTGAAGAGGGGAGGTGTAGGGGCAGGTGTAGCACCTCCTGCGGTTGCGGGGAAAGGTGCCGGGGGTGGTGGGGCTAGAGGGGTGTGTGGAGCGGATGAGGGAGTCACGGAGAGAGCGGTCCCTCCGGAAGGCGGATGGGGGTGGGGAGGGAAATATATCCTTCATAGTGGGGACAGAAGGGTCCCGACCCAAAGCATCAGCCTTCCTGCTCCTCTGATGCTGCCTGGCCTGCTGTGTTCCTCCAGCTCCACACTGTGTTATCTGTAGAAAATTCCAAACTCTGCTGCATTCCCATGGCAACCCTTATCCTTGAGAATCTACCTGCCTGATCAGAGAACTAAGAATGACATTTCATGTTCCTGCTGCATCTCCATGCTAACGATGGCCCACCCAATCGGCATGCTGTTCTCAATTTGTATGAATTGGTATCCCTTTTTTCAAGTCTGTTTCTTATGAAAACTTCGACTTCTGGCTTTCTTTGATATAAATAACTGCTTGGTAGTACAGAACTTAAAACATTGCTAAAATGGAACAAGAACCTGAAGCTTTTCATCTAGTAGTCATCAGAAGTATGACACAGGAAGTAGACTTGAACAAAAGGGACACCATTTTATACAGAATGAGAAGAGGGTGCTGATTGGTTAGGCCATCATTGGCGTAGAGATATTGCAAATGCCCGCCAGTTGTAAATCCTGATTGGTCAGGGTGTTGCCAAGGAGATGCTGCAGGGACTGGCTGTCTCATAATCTCCTAGGTGCAAAGTATGTACAGTTCCTGAAATGACTGCACATAGGCATTTACATGTGCACAGTACACTGGCTGTGACCAGCCAGCTCAGTGTCAGTCCCCGAAGTTAGGAGATTCTGAATCTCCTGTTTATAATTGTCAGCCTGGGTTTCCTGATTGGTCCAACTTATAAACCCCAATCAAGGATCACATCATCAATAAGATCGACCTGGTTCAAATCACTAATGTTTCTTTTGCTACATTAATCAGGATCCTTTGTATTTATAGATAGTTAAAAGCAAATGCTTGTTTGATAGCTCCATTTTAACAGTGAATTTGCCTTGATGGCAGCATCCTCACAGTGAAGAAAAACACTTGCGGGCTCACTGCAAAGTAACACTGAGACATTGGGAGTTTCACCTTCCAATTGCAGCCAATTTTGAGGTAGACTGGACATCACTAGGGGCCAAAGGTGGTGGACAGAGGCCTTTTCATAAGATTTTGGGAGATTCAGTGAATGATGACTTGACCCTCTTCCCATCTGCATAAATCATGGTCACTTTTTTCAAACCTGTTTCTTGCATCCTAGTGCTGATTAGTACAAGATAAAGATGTTCAACTTCTTGTCTCCTTTTAGCGATACTTGAATGTTTTAAGTTCTCTTTCAGCAACAGGCTTACAATCAATTCGACATTCAAATTGACATTGGTTGCAGAGAATATTTGCCTAAAGGAGCAGGTTGGAAAAAGGTTGCAAGTGTGGTCGCATCATTACTGAAGAAAAACCAAGGCATGCAGTTGGCACAGTTGCTTCCTACTAGAGGCAGGATCTGGGATTTTATAGATGTAAACGAAAGTGCTGTAAGAAACCGCATATTTTTCATTTTTTAAGTTAAACAATAAATTGAAATGGAAGTGGGACTGATTTAATTTAATAAACAGAAAAATATTGCAACTTGATAAAGCAAAGAATGCATATTGTTGAGCTGTGCCATGCAATGTTCCTTTACGGAAGTGAAAATAAGGGGAAGTCAAGACTGAATGGCACCAAAAATCTTTCAAGTTGAGAAGATTCTACCTGCAACAGCTGTCTGGTTGAGCTGTAGAGCTTTGAAAAGCTGTAAGTGCCAAAGTGAAATCATTCAGCCTGCATACAGCATCCTGTTTCCTTTTCTCTTTCCGTGTGGGGAAGAAAAGACCTCCCAGAAAGCTTTGAAGAAAAAAATCTTGAAAGAAAACCCTGATCAACTATCAAATTAAAGGATGACCATCTTCATATGGAAAACAGCATCTCGTCATTGCAAAAATCAAAAGTAAAATGGCTTCAAAGACATTGAAAGGACAAATCCACAACCACCGAGTGAAAGACATAGATGTTGACAGAAGTTTGCTTGTGCACTTAAGACTTGAAAGAAAGCAAAAGAAAACAACTCGCTGAATCCTGTTGTCACTGAATCCAAACTGGTGCTATTGAACTGAGCCCGTTTTTCTTTCTTTTTCCACCCTTAATATCCAGGTCTTGCTGCTTTGTGTGTCTGTCTGTTTGTGAATGGGAGTATTTAACAAGAGGTTGAGTTAGCCATTCCTATTTCCTTTTTGCCATTGGTTAAAGACAATTTGTTCAGAATAATCAGTTATTTTCTTGTTAAGTACAGAAATCTGGTTTGCATTTTCTTTTAACTTGAGTTCATTGCGAGAGGCTCGTACTGAATTGTATGATACCTGTGTAATAATTTGTTTGTTTGTAACTTCCTTAAAATGACAATTTACCAAAATATTGGAATGGAGTAACTTATTATTAATTTAGGGAAAATAACAATGATAAAACTGTCTTTATATTTGGTAAAATTTTCCTCAAAAATAAATTTTATAACACTCTTGACTGTATACCCTTGCTGTTTATGCTGTTTGAATGATCACTTGTAAATGTTTTGTAGCATATAGCTTAAAAGATGCCAGATTGTTTTATTTAGTTTCTAAAATAGAATCAATTAAAAAATAAAATGAAACTAATTCATATTCTTTTTCTAATTAAAAATTTAACTGGAATAGCACCTATAATCAATATGCAAGTATTTGGCACATTGCCTAGTTTTGTCCACACATGATTCTGTATGATGTGTCAGAAGTTTTTAGGGGTGCCAGCTTTAAATTGCAGAGTACTATCCCATTCCTCTACAACATATGTTTGTATAAGCAGAAAAGGGAAATGCCAGTCTTTCAGCCATGAATAGTAAAAGCTGTGAGACAAAACATATTGGCCAACTTAAACATTTGAATCAAAGCTGGTTAGATTCCTATTTTGAGTCTTAGCCTGTAATACGGTTCTGAGTTTGGATAAAATGATCTTCATTGGCAGGATTTGACATAAAATAAATAAACTGTAGAGAAGCAATATACCTGTAACTCTTCCACTGTTTAAAATATGTCCAGACATTTGAACCTAGATTTTAAGATGGTGCTGGCCTTTTTTTAAAATTCATTTATGGGATGTGGGTGTTGCTGGCTGTGCGAGCATTTATTGCTTCTTTCTAACTGTCTTTGAGAGGGTGGTGGTGAACTGATTTCTTGAACTGCTTCAGTCTGTTGTAGGTTGATCCACAATGCCATAGAGAGGGAATTCCAGGATATTGACTGAGCAACATTAAAGCAATGATGATATATTTCCAAGTCAGGATGGTGAGTGGCTTGGAGGGGAACTTGCAGGTAGTGGTGCTCCCATATGTCTACTGCCCTTGTCCTAGATGGAAGTGGTTGTGGGTTTGGAAAGTGCTGTCCAAAGATCTTTGGTGAATTTCTGCAGTGTGTCTTGTAAGTAATGTATACTGCTGCTACTGAGTATCAGTGGTGGAAGGAGTGGATGTTTGTGGATGTGGTGCCAATCAAGCAGGCTGCTTTGTCCTGGATGGTGTCAAGCTTCTTAAGGAGTAGACATATGGGAGCACCACTACCTGCAAGTTCCCCTCCAAGCCACTCACCATCCTGAGTTGGAAATATATTATCATTGCTTTAGTGTCGCTCAGTCAAGCTTCTTGAGCGTTTTTGAAGCTGCAACTATCCAGGCAAGTGGGAAGTATTCCATCACACTCTTGGCTTTGCCTTGTATATGGTGGACAGGCTTTTAAGAGTTAGGAGGTGAGTTACTTTCCACAGTATTCCTAGTCTCTGACCTGTTCTTGCCCCCACTGTGTTTATGTTGAGTTTCTGGTCAGGCTAACCCCCAAGATGTTGATAGTGGGGGGTTCAGTGATGGTAACACCATTGCATGTCAAGGGGTGGTGATTATATTGTCTCTTATTGGAGATGGTAATTGCCTGGCATTTGTGTGGCATTGATGTTATTCCCAGTTTCCAGCTGAAAACTGGATATTGACTAGATCTTCTTGCATTTGAACATGGACTGCTTCAGTATGTGAGGAGTCACGAATGGTGCTAAATGTTGTGCAATCATGGGCAAGTATCCCCATTTCTGACCTTATAATTGATGGAAGGTCATTGATGAAGCAGCTGAAGATAGTTTGAGCTAGGACACCACCCTGAGGAACTCCTGCAGAGCTGACTGACCTCCAACAACCACGACCATCTTTCTATGTGCCAAGTATAACTCCAACCAGTCCAGGTGACGAGTTTTCCCCCCGATACCTATTGATTGTAGTTTTATGCTCCTTGATGCCACAGTCTGTTGAATGCAGCCTTGCTGTCAAGAGCTGTCACTTTCACCTCACCTCTGGAATTCAGCTCTTTTGTCCATGCTTGAATCAAGGCTGTAATGAGATCAGGAGCTAAGTGGCACTAATGGAACCCAAACTGGGTGTCAGTGATCATCCACTTCCACTCAATTATTTGAAAGATTTTGCTTAACTTAAAATACAGCTGATGGTGTATATTATATAGAAAATGGTTATTGATATTTACATTCAACAGGTAAATACTATTTTATTTTTACTTTGGAAGAGTCTCAGGTATGATGTATTTGATTTAGTGCAGTGAGAGCCCCCTTTTCAAAATATGCCTTGTTCTATCACTAAACAGGATTTACAGAGATAAAAGTAGAGAAAATCAGAAAGACTCAGCAGATCAGGCAGCATCTCTGGAGACTGAAAGAGTTGACCTTTTACCAGAATTGGAAAAGTTGGTGATGTCAGTAAGTTGTGAGCAAGTATAGAGATACGGAGAAGCAAGGGAGGAGAACAAAAGGAGAGGTATATGACTGAGTGGAAGGCAGGAGAGGCAGGGGACAATGATCCCTTTTGTTTCTTCTGTCTTCCATCCTCTCTCATGCCTTTCCTCTTGTCCTAATGCCCCTATCCCTGCTTCCATACTTGATATAAAAAAAAACCTCTGGCAGATTTAAAATTTGTTCATGTCTGATGAAATCATCTGAAATATTAACAGTTTCTCATGCCACAGTTTTGCCTGATCCGCTGAGTAGTTCTCAGTTTTTGTTTTTGATTTTGATTTCTGGGTTCCACAGTATTTTGTTTTTAAAAATTGTGCATAGAGCTCTCTAAATTTACTTTGTAGTTCATATTTCAAATAAATTGTTTTAAAGAGCAATTTAGCAATTTTGCCCATTAGAAAGTAGCCCTTTCTTCAACTTTCTCTATTTGAATTGGAGTGTCAAAGGCTACAAATACAGGTTTAAAGCAGGGAATTCTGCAGTGAGTAATTCATCTCCTAACACCTGAAAGCCTGACCACCATCTACAAGGCCCAAGGTGGGAATGTGATGGAATACTCTGCACTTGCCTGGATGGGACACTCAAGGACCTCCAGGACAAAGTAGTCCACCTGATTGGTACCTCATCCAACATTCACTCCCATTACCACCGGTTCATAGTGGTGGCTGTATAATACGATCTACTACAATTACTGCTTTGCACCAAGGCTCCTTCAACAGTACCTTCAAAACCTAGAAGGACAAAAGCAGCAGATGCACAACAACACTCCCACTTACAATTTCCCCTGCAGATCACACGTCATCCTGATGTGGAACTATATTGATGTTTCTTCACTGTCATTGGGTTAAAATCTTGGGACTCCCTTCCTAACAGCACCTACAACCCAAAGAGTGCGCCAGTTCCAGAAGACAGCTTACTACCACTTTTTTAATGGCAATTCTCAGGATGGGCAATAAATCCTGGCTTAGCCAATGACATGCTAATTCCATGAATGAATTAAAAAGTCCCCAACAACAAAACATGTGCTGAAAGCATGTATATTCTGCAAATGTTCCATTGTATTTTCCCACTTGCTATTTTTGGCATAGACAAAACTGCTAACATTATCAGCATAGAAGCTGTTAGTTGCACCGTTGATAGCAGATAACTTTGTGTTTGCTCCCGATTTTTTCCTTCCGTCATTTTCTGTTGATATCAGCTGAGCCTCGTCCAGTCCTTTGCCAGTGCCAACATGTGCTCACACCCATTCAGAGATTCTGATAAAACACCAAGAATGTGAAGATTGTTTCAGAGATAGTAGGAACTGCTGATGCTGGAGAATCTGAGATAACAAGGTGTAGAGCTGGATGAACACAGCAGGCCAAGCAGCATCAGAGGAGCAGGAAAGCTGACGTTTCGGGCCCATGGGTCACTGAATCAGTAAAGTGTTGAACCAAAGACTTGATTTTTATTTGATCTGTAATACCTACTTGAACTTTAGTTTAACACCTCATTTCAAGGATGACGTTTCTGTTGATGCAGCACCACCTCATTATTGCATTGGAGTATCTGTGTAGCTACCATGCTTAGCTCTGGAGTTTCATTTACCAGTTACAACTCATTTTTTATTATTTGTTTGATTCTTATGTGCTTTAATTACCTGAGAAAATGGATTTGCTTGTGCCCTTTTGCGCTCCAGTACCTGAACAATGTAATTTGAATGAGATTTTACGTGTTTAGGTATCTTAATTCATAACTAGATTATAATCTCTAGCTTTTTTTTTCCTATAAGGCATGCATCCAAACAATAGTTTAAAAAAGAAGGATCTATGAATAATTAAACCTAAAATTGCTTCATTAATTATCATATTTGTTTCTCAATTTTAGTGCTATTAATTGACTTTTTTTTATTATTCCGAGACAATGAATTCATATAATTACTTTCACGTTATAGCAATTGTCTTTGCACATGATTTTTATGTTCTGAAGATAATTCAGAATGGAAAATTGAAAAGGATTTATTTTCAGATTTTCAATTAATAACACATGTTTGAAAGGCACTGGTGAATAGTGTTTGTATGATAAGTTTGAAAATAGAATGCAGGTATTTGTGGTAGTATCTATTATTAATACATCTGATGCACTTTAAAAAGGAATGTTGTTGTTCAAAAATAGAACATTCTATGAACAGCATGTCCCAGAATTCATATGGAGTCCATTAAGACTGTTTTAAAGCTATTGGTTCCTTTGGCAAAGTGGATTGTTATTCTGTTTAAATAATATACTTGTGTTTAATATCAACAATAAATGCCAATATATTAGCAAGCTCTGAGGTCATTAATTGGTAGGTTCTGGAGTATCACAACAACTTTGAAAAAATCTTTGCAAAAATTGTTGATGTATCTTACTATATTGCTAAGATATACATGAACTGAACACATCATGAGTTGAGGAG